TCAGAATGCCCAGTGAAACGCCCTGCCTGGGAAAGGATTAGAAAAGGAAAGACAAGGTGGTGGAGAAGGAAGAGGAGAATCTGCAGTTGAGTTGAGTTGCTGGCTCAGTGTGGCTTCTTACCTTTCTAGCTGCATCTTCTTTTCTGCAATTAGTGCCTGCAGTTGCTGCTGTTGGGCTTCTCTCTGCTTTGCTATGGATTTGAGCAAGTTCCGAGCACCAATGGCCTAAGAAACATTGCCAAACTCACCTAAGTCCTTCAAGAGGAAGAGGCTACTTGGGAGGGAAAAAGACCAGGGCCCCATGTTTGTTTGTTTGTATTCTGTTGTTTGTTTTGGGGTTTTTCGAGACAGGATTTTTCTGGGTAGCCTTGGCTGTCCTAAACTCAATTTGTAGACCAGGTTGGCCTCAAACTCAGAGATCTGCCAGCCTCTGCATCCCTGAATGCTGGGATTACAGGCATTTGCTGCCATGCCCAGCTGAGCCCCAAGTGCCTGGCGGGAAATGGCAAGAGCAATCTGCCTGCAAGTGCACGCAGTGGCCTACTGGGAGACATCATTTAGCCTTGTGCCTTTATCCAAGTCATCTCAGGCAATCTTTCCTGCCTTCATCTTTAAAAGGAGGGAAAACCACCCAACAGTACTACCATGTAATGACAAGCGTGTACTGGTGTAGCTGGAGAGGTGACTGGTTAGGAGCCAGGTTCAGTTCTGCAGGCACCCATGTGTTGGCTCACAACTATCTGTAACTTCAGCAGGGGATCAGCAGGGGGTCCGATACCCTCTTCTGACCTCCAAGGGCACAAGCACACACGCTGTACATACATGCATGCAAAATAGTCATGGACATAAATCAATTTAAAACAAAACTTGGATACTGGAGAGATGGCTCAGTTGTTAAAAGCATTAGCTGCATTTCCAGAGGACCTGGGTTTGATTCCCAGTGCCCACATGGCAGCTCACAACCATTTTTAATTTTAGTTCCAGAGGATCTGACACATGGCCTCTAGATACATGTATGTACACAGACATACATTCAGACAAACATTCATTCACATGAAATCGAAGTCTTAAACTACTGGTATATAAGTCACCATGCTAACCTGGCCAGCATCTATTACTAACCCCCACCATCCCTACAATAGAGGTGAGGCCTGCAGGGTTCCTGGTCAGGACCCGCTGCTAATCTTACCTTCATCTTCTCGTTCTCTGCTTCTTTGGCAAGCTGATCAACAAGTTCAATTAGACCACCAACTATTTTCTGAAACTGGCCAATTTCTTTGAGAGAAAGAACGAAACAGTCTCATTATTTCTTGCCCCTTGTGTTAGAGCAGTCTGGTGCCTACTAACCTAAGCATCACAAAATTTGGTCCACCCTAAAGAGGCAGAACCAGGCTTTGAACATAGGCTCCAGGGTGGACCTAACCCTACCTCTCCCAGAAAGGACTCTGAGAAACAAGCATATCCTCTGGACCGGCCAGACTCAACACTGGGTTTCAGTGGTATGAGAACCATGTAACCATGTCAACAATTTTGGTGTCCCTTTTCCAATGCACTTGGTATGCTGGAACCCCATTATGTTTTATGAAGTGGGCCACAGCAGGCAGCAACCCTTAAACTGGGAATAGACAACAGGCAACATCACAAAACCATGGCCCAGAAATCTCTTGCTTCGGTTGAGGAAAGCTGGCCTGGAAACCCAGCATTTGGGAAGCTAAGTCAGGAGAATCATGAGTCTGAGGCCAATATACAACATACATAATAAGACCTTGTCTCAAATTTTTTTCTTTTTTTTTTCTTTTTTTTTTGGTTTTTCGAGACAGAGATTCTGTGTGTAGCCTTGGCTGTCCTGGACTTGCTTTGTAAGCAGGCTGGCCTTGAACTCCATTAACACCTGGCTCCTTGCTGCTGCTTAATCTGGCTTTTTCCCGCTGGCACTGGGCTGGCTCAGCAGCTAGAAACAGAGGCTTCCTGGACATTGGCAGCCCAAAGACCACCACTATGCTGCGTTGCTCCTGGAGACCTCTATTACCACCTCAAACTCCAAACAACACGGACCCTGCCACCATGACTATTCTACCAAGAAATCAAATCAGAATATATAATTATATTTCTTACCTCAAATTTTAAGGTTAAAAGAAAAAAAAAATCACAGCCCATCTAAAAACACCCACTCCCTACCCCCAGTCCAGTGTGTTGCTTGGCACTAAACATGGACTCCCTGGCAGCATAAGAGGGCAAGTAGACAAGGTTGGGTACACATGGGAACCCAGAAAGCAAGCAACTTCATTCTGGTGGACCCAAGAACAATAGTTGCGGTGGGATGATGAAACTGCTCAGAGCAGAATGACGCTGTGTCTCCAAATGATACTCACTGTCCACAAAATCCTTGCACTCTTCCTTGAGCTCTATGGTCTGCTGGGTAACCTCTGGGTCCAACACCCGCAGCTTGTTCAGCTCATCAAAGTGCAGCCCTGCTTCACCTAAGATGTCCTTGGCCATAGCTGCAAAGAAACCAGCCCCAACCTGAATTGCATTCCCGACACCCAACGTAATCCAGGCTCCACCCCAGCCCACTGCAGTCCCCAGATACCAACGTGGAGCCTTCCTCATAGTCCCCGATCCCTCTGCCTCCACCTCTCAGCCTCACCTGTCTCCCTTCCAGGCTCCCTAGAGAAGTGCTGCTTTGAAGGGGTGACAGTGGCAGTCAGGAGGTATGTCATAGGAGCAAGGGTCAGGAAAGAATAGAGTCCAGTTGCTTGTCACAGGCATCGTTCATTCAACACACATTTCTTGAGTGCCCACTATATGCCAACACTGCTAGATGCTGGGTTGTAAAGATGAGTGCGGCATGGTGCCTGCCCTGGAGCGGCACAGTTTGGCTGGAGGGAAACAGACATGTAAACCTGAAAAACTATATGGCATTAAGTGGTTTTTACAGAAATATCACTGAGCAACAAGGAGGAAAAATAACATAAAACTGCAATTCACTTGGGCTCATCTGGCCTAAGCTGTGAGCTGTAAGCAGAGTTATAAATCCCCATTTATGTACCCAAAAAGGTTTTTCAAATGCATGCACTGAAATGACACACACACACAAAAAAAGCAAAAGAAAACATCTGGGTGAATTTTAAAAATTGAGTTAATCCTAGCACTAGTCAGAAGAGGACTGGCACAAGTTCAGGACCAACCTGGGCTAGGTACTGAGTTCCAGGCTATGCTACACAAGACTCTGTCTTAAAAAAAAAAAAGTCTTTCTGTGTTGTTCAGTTTGGACAGTTTGAGTACTTAAGAGCTACTAGGGATTGGACCAGGTGCTACAGAACAGTTCATGTAACATGAGGGTGCAAACTATCTGAACTTCTACAGCCTTCTGAGTTTACATGCATTTATTAAAAAAAAAAAAGAAAAAAAAAAAGTTGAATCCCTGCCTCAGGGACAGAGTGAGCACAAAGTCCCCAGACTGTGAGCATATAAACAAACTGTGTTAAGACTATAAGGACAGTGCTCAGGGCTTGGTGAAGACACTGCAGGAGAACATGCCTCAGTGGGCAGAGAGGTCAGCAAAAGCCTCCAGAAAAAACAATCTGAGACTTCAACATAGCCAAAAAAAAAAAAAAAAAAAAAATCCAAGAAAATCCAGAGGGCATATGGGAAGATCCCGAGGCTTGAATTTGACACAAAGGCTGCTGTGGTCAAAACAGCAAGGAGCAATGAGGCCGGACTGTCTGAACTGGATGGTTACTGCGAAGGCCCGCGTAATGAACTTGTGATATCACGGTAACAGCAAGCAGTGGATTCCAGCAGTGATTATGGAAAGATCACTGGCTTGACCCACGGAGGGGACAGCGAATGGCAGCACAGAGGCGCGCCGCCTCACTGTGAGCCTAGCTAGCATCTTTAAGCAGGTTGCCCG